ACACACACACACACACACACACACACACACACACACACACAGTGACAGTTTGAATGATAATGGGTCTCCCTAGACTCATATATAAAATGCTTGATACCCACTGGGCGAACTCTTTAGGAATGATTAGGAGATACTGCTTTTTTGGAGGAGGTGTGTCACAGGGCTTTAAGGTTTACCAGTTAGCTCTTTCTAATTGTTGTCTCAGGATGTGGCTCTCAGCTCCTGCTCTAATGCTGTGCCTGCCTGCCGCTGTGTTCTCCGCTATGATATGATTTCATGGACTAAACTAACCGTCTGAAACTGTAAGTCCCAAAACATTTTTTTCTCAGTTGCCTTGGTCATGGTGTCTTATCATAACAGTAGAAACGTAATTAAGAAATTTAACCTAAATGCTGATAATAAATGCATGGCTAATTGAAATTTATGATTTTTCCTAAATCTTTTGGATTTCCTGTATTTCAGTCATATCCTAAATATAAAAAGTTATTAGATTTTTTAAAGTCAGCCATTTAAAAAGTATTATAATAGAGGTGCTACACAACTCACTGACGTTGCATAAATGAGTCTCCATGGCAGGTGAGTTCCCAGGCCTTCTCTAGAACCTGTCTATAGCATCAAGGGTCAGTGGTGTAGCTGGCCCTACAGCCCATCAGCACCCCAAGGCCCACCATGCCTTCATTCCTGACTGCTTCTGTCTCTTCCTCATGCTGATGGCAGTGTCTTCCTTACCCTGAAGGACAAAAAGCAAACAACTTACACCTTGCACCTTGACACTAATAAACTAACCCTCCTCTTTAATTGTTCTTAATTTGTTCTGATTTTAGCTACTCCTACCCCCATTTAGAGGTTCCCACTTGACTCTTCCACAGTTCAGGTTATGGATAATATATGTTTTAGCATGACTAAAGAACTGTGGTGATTTGATTTGATTTGATTTGGGGGGTTAGGGGTATCTCATGTAGCCCAGGTTATGCTTGTACTTGCTTCATAGATGGGGATGACCTTGACCTTCTGATCTTCCTGCTTCTTCCTCCCAAATGTTGGGACTGCAGCATGCACCATCATACCTGATTTGCACAATGTTGGGGATGGAACCCAGGGCTTCATGCATGCTAAGCAAGCATTCTACCAACAGAGCACATCCCCAGTCCTGTTTTTATTTTATTAGAAACAAGACAGGTTTACTGAGTACACTATAAGGGCTTTGAGCTGGCAGTAACAAGATTGCTGTTTCTAGCACAAAGTGATTTTTAAAAGGAAAAAGAAAAAAATCCAATGGTTACCCACTGAGCATTAGGTAAACTCTTGGGCTGTATTATGTCTTTTTATCCTTACCAACCAGAGAAATAAGTGTCACCAGTTGGGAGGATTAGAGAGGTTAAATAATTTTCCTAAATTCACTTACTCGGAAAGTTGTCAAGGTGAAATTCAAACCCTCATGTTGCTGACCCCCAAGCCTGTGCCCTTAGCTGCTACCTTGGTGGACATTCATCATCTATTAAAATAGGCTGTATTCTCTTATTTTCCAGAAGTTGTCCAGATGAACAAAGAGGTAAATCAAACTAAAACTCACAATCAATCGATGCCAAGGGCAAGTGTCTATATATCCCAACTCTCTTCTCATTGCGTCAGATTTTCATAATGGATGAACAGTGTCTCAGCAACTAGAGAGACTAGAATGAGTAGGCTTCTTTTTTCAAATTACTCTGAAACCTTTTCGTGTGTGCGTGTGCGTGTGCGTGTGCGTGTGCGTGTGCGTGTGTGTGTGTGTGTGTGTGTGTGTGTGTGTGTGTGTGTGCCCATGAATGGAGAGAAGAGGACAAGTTGATTCTTGCCTTTCATCTTGTTGAGTGGTCACCTCTCTGCTGGCTGTTCACTCCAAGCTGTCTGGCCCTTGAGTGCTTTTGGTGATTTTCCCATCTCTGCCAACGTAGGAGTGCTGGGATTGCAGATGTGCACCACCACATCCAGAGTGGTTTTTTTTTTTTTTTTAAATGAGTTTCAGGGAGAGGACTTGGGTCTCAAGCTTGTATGCCAAGCACTTTTTGCCGTCTGAACCATCTAGCTGGCTTGATGAACAACTCTAAGTAGTTTAACCATTTTGGTTATCTGTATTATCCCAAGCACTTACTTACCCAACTAAAATTAATTTCATTAATAGCCACTTTTGAAGGATTTAGAAGTTCTCCTCTGGGACAAAAAGCAACTTTTTTATGAAGTAAAATTCTTAGTCGTTAAATATTAAGTCGGGTCTTTAAAAATGGTTATTTGGACTTTAAGAATTGAGTCTATTAATAGGAGACATGTACGTTATCAAAAGGAATGTTCCCACACGTTATGACTAATACTCTTTCAGAGGAAATCTCTAACAAAAAGAGATTTTCCATGTAACGAACCATTTATTTCAAGCAACAAAGTTTAATAAGAATCTGAAATAAATCTGTTGTAACAGGAATTGAATAGCATTTCTCAGAAAGCATTGCTCATAATACCCACCTCTCCAATGGCTCACCAGTGTTCTTGTGAGCCTCTTGTGGCTAAGAGGCTATGCTGAAAGACCGTTTTAGTTCTTGACACAGGTGTGAGCAGCCAGAACTGGACCTCTCTCACTAACAAACATTTTTGACAACTTCTTATGATCCAGACCTTGCTGCGCTGTGCATGCTCAGACACAAGTAAATTTCACTAGCAACAATAGCCAGACTAAAAGACTGAGACACAGGGTTAAGGAGATGGACTAGTTGATAAAGTGCTTCCCTTGCTCTGAGTTCCATCCCAAGAACCCAAGGAACAAAGCCAGTGGTGCTGTGCAGTTTTAATCGCAGCACTGGGGAGGTGGAGATAGGATAGGAGACTGGGGCTCATGGGCCAGCCAGCTTGGTGAGGTCTGTCCCAGTGAAAGACCCTGTCACAAGTAAGAAAGTGAATGGTGACTGAGAAACGACAGTTGAGGTTGACCTCTGGCCTCCACACACATGCACACACGTGAGCATGAATACACATATGCAGAGGAAAGAGAAAGAAACAGGCATACAGGTTAAGAAAGTGACCAAGAAACACTACTAAAGAAAACACCCAAGTCTGTCTCATTGGCTGTTTCTATTTTCCTGTCATGCCAGGAGAGTGACATTTTATACAGAAGCTGTGAGTTTAACTCTCCTCTTTGTGGGAAAGAAAAGATGAAAGACAGTTTGACCTGCTGCTAGTGATTAACCCTACTGGAGAATTGGTTCTTTGAGAGGTGAAGTTTTAGATCCCCGAAAGCTCTGAGACTGTGTTTTCCTGGCTAGTTTGAACTTTCTTCACAGCCCATCCTTCTCACCCAGCCTGTAAACCTTCCATGGTGGCCCTGAGAGCTCAGCCAGTGGAGCTGTCCTTGGTCTGAGAGATCAGAGGAAACATTACACCCAGGGCCTCTGACTTTCCCGGGGCTGCTGTGCTTGTCTAGTCTGTCAGACTCCCCTGCCCACCATGGAGAACAGATTGGAGTTCGAGGGTGAGCCCATGAAAACCCTCAAGCACGTTTCCTCTGTTCATCTGAACTTCTCCCTACATTTGCCCAGAGTTTTCCTGCCTTAGATCAGAAAACAGGAACTTGGATGTCAGTTATGCAGTAAAGTCATATCAAATACCTATTTTGTGCATAACACAATTCTAAATACCACAAAAGATCAAGATAACACCTCAGCTCTCAATGATTTTTGCATGCTGGTGATAAGACACCCCCACAGTAAATAAAAACCAAACAGCCCACACATCAAACAGAGACAGATCAGAAACCAACAGAAGCATGGATGCCTAGTGTTTGAGGCAAGGAATAGAGGAGGCTTTGGGGCAGAGAGGAGATTGGAGATAGGCCTGAAGTGAAGAAAGCTGTCCAGAGTACTGCATGTATACATTCCTGTTGCCTGAAAACAAAGAAAAATCCTATATACATGTATACGACTTTACATAACACATGTACATGACTTTATGTGACATATGTATATGACTTTATATAATATATATTAGAGAAGAAGAGCTTGAGGGCTGCTTAGCAATTTGTGAGGAGGGAAGTCTTCATCGTTTATCTGGTGCTATAACAGGACACCACAGACTAAGTAGTTTAAAGAGAAAAGAAAAAATTCAAACAATACAGAAATCTAGGAATAGCGACAACCAACAGTTTGACTCACAGCTCTTGGGGTTAGGAAGCCCAAGAGCACAGGGCCTTGTGGTGCCTCATGACATGGTTGAAAGGGCACTAGGATGGGAACAAGAGAGCCAGAAATCTGGATTTGATTTTCTGAATCCCACAGTGGTGGAAGTGAACCCAGTGCCCTGAGAACTGAGAGAAGGACCCTGAGCCATTCAGAAGACTAGGACCTAAGTTCCTCCTTCTAAGTCTCCCTCCCAACACTGCCACACTGGGCTTTGCATTCAAATCTGTGGACTTTTTGTGAAAACATTGAAACCATGTCAGGTGTGCATGTGTGTGTGTGTGTGTGTGTGTGTGTGTGTGTGTGCGCGTGGGGGTGGGTGTGTGCG